CTTATTCAACCTGTGTGCTGAGCAAATAATCCAAGAAGCTGGGTTGTATGAAGAAAATGTGGCATCAGGTTTGGAGGAAGACTCATTAACAACCTGTGATATGCAGATGATACAACCTTGTTTGCTGAAAGTGAAGAGGACTTAACAACATTTACTGATGAAGATCAAAGAGCACAGCCTGTGGGATGGATTACATCTCAATGTAAAGAAAACAAAAATCCTCACCACTGGACCAATAAACAACATTCTTATCAACAAATGTGAATTATGCCCTCTTAAAACTTCCATCTTTGTACTGGCATACCTCCAAAAACTTAAGTGTGAGCCTAATTCGTTATATTTTATTGTCACAAATGAGACCAAGCAAAGTTTCAAAGATTTCGAGAATATTTCAAGGTTTCCTAATTTACCATGATGAAAGTTTTTATATAACTACACAGCTATTTACAGATTTTTTTTTTTTTTTTTTTAGTCATGGAGATCAACTTCACTACAATTATTCTCGGTCATAACTTTCTTTCTCACATTCAGTTCAATAGCCAGGCAAGCCCATTTTACTCATTATCTGAAAGTAGTGCACCAGAAACACAAATCAACACCTAAAGAAATCAAGAAAAGAAATAAGGCTGTCATTTTTTGTTTCAGTGCTGACAAAAAGTGCATCATTGTAGACGAAGGCAAAGAGATCCTGGCTGGAGATGTCAGAGTAACCTAACTGATGCTTTCAAGCATTTTGTGGGAATGCTTCCTGAAAAAGATTGTCATTATGCCTTGTATGATGTAAGCTTTGAAACCAAGGATTAGAAATGAGGAGTTGATGTTTGTTTTTGTGGGCACCAGAACTAACAACTCTGAGAAGTAAAATGATCTATACAAGTTTCAAAGATGCAATTAAAAAAGAAATCTCATAGCATGAAACAAAAATGTCAAGCAAACGGACCAGAAGGTGGATCCTTAATCGTAGCTTTTGAAGGAAGCCCTGTGTATATCATTCAGTGCCTCAAACCAGAAGTTTCCATGTTTAATGTTATTCTTGTTCTATATAAAGGAAGCAAATATATTAAGGCCAGGGTCTCACTGAGGGGGAGCTGTCTTACCATATTCTGGAGTAGAGTACGTGAAATATCTAAATATGTGCAGATGGTCCTAAATAAATCTAAAGTCTAAAGTCTAAAGTTAAAAAAACAACATATCATAATCTTGAAATTAATATGAGATAAATGTGTATGCTATTCCACATTAATTTGATGTCAGTATTGATCTGTGACCTAAAATGTAACTTTTGGTTCAGATTGTTTTTAAAATTGAACTTGTCAGAATTAGGGTGATAACCAGTCATAAATTAGACCCATTTCATTAAACTTACCTCATTAACTTGTTTTTTGTCCAGATGAAATACTTGACCAGAACTTGTAGAAGCAATTTCTTCGTAGACTTTATATCCAATGTGACTCCTGTCATCGCAGTCTCCAGTGAGAACAAACACTACCTAATATTAAGAAAAGGCAGCTTAACAGTTATCAGAAATCAATCACTATATATTTACTGAGCACCTACAGTTACAGTCATAGGAATAAAACATAGTTCTTTTATTTGTTAATTGTGAATTGAAAGTTTATAGACAAGATTATCAGTTTTATGTTCAACAAATCATGTACTTTGTTTCATCTCAATGGTTGTAATCCCTTCCATGCAACAGTTACCCTGCTTCCTCCTGTGGTTCCTATTTCCATTCCACCCTTCTTCCCCTCCTTCCCAATTTTTTCCTTAAGTAAATGTTGCCTTTTTAAAATCTTGAATGATTGATGATTCCATGATGATAATACCTTACTAGTGTTGTTGTTCCCCTAAATACTTATCTACTGCTTGGCTGAAAATGGGGCCACAAGTGTGAGTTTCATTTCAGGTGTGAAGGGTTGTCAATGGCCATGGTTTCAGGTTCCTCCAGTCTCTTTCTGACCAGTTTTTTTGTTTTTTATAATTTTGAGTTTTGTTATACATTTTCTCCCACTCTATCCAGGGCCTTCTAATGTGATCCTTTTCAGAGCAGTTGGAAGTATTAGCCGGGCACTGTCTAGTTCTTCTGATTTTAATTCTTTGAGTTCTTCTCAGAGTCACAGTGACTGATGTTCACCTATTCTACTGGTCCTTTGGACTAGTTGGTTCCAAGCATTTTCAATTTTTGTCACTTTTCTTTCTTCCACACATGGAGAGATGAATAGTTGCAACTTTTAAGATCTCAACCACTACTTACCAAAGCAGAACATTATCTTTGTGGACTCTATTATGCCAACTGATCATGGTATCTCCTGAGACTGCGGTCCTGCACACCTAGACCCAGCAACTTATTGCCTTAAGATGTTTGATAACATCTAGGAAGTTTTCAGCATTTTGCCATTGGTACGCTCCACCAATGAGTCCTAATGTAGCAGTGTAGGCTGCTAAGTACTCAGCTGTTAATAGCAGTTAAAACCTACCAGTTGCTCCTTGGAACTCACTTGATGGCACTTAACAACAACAATGCTCCACCATATTCACAGGTGTATTTGTAAAAGATAAATACTCATGTACAAATATCCTTTTTCAAACCCGTATCTATTTGTGGATATACTCTCACTTTCCCTTCCATACTTCTTCCCACTGTTTATCTCTGCCCTTGTATCTACCTGTAGAGCACTTTTGTTCCAGGGTTGTGTATATAACACTAATTACATCTATCTCCTTTAACCCTTGCATACCTCCCTGAATCTTCATATGTCTTCATTGTTCTTATATCAACCTTTCTCTTCTTGAATATTGCCTTCTCTGTCATTGGAGTTAAAAAGCGTCTACCTTCCCACCACTGGTCACCATTGAAGAATGTTTTTTTTTTAGCGAGAAAACATTTTCTGGAGTTTTTATAGTCGTGGTCTCATACAATATTTGTCTTTTTGTGATTGACTAATTTCACTCAGCATAATATCCTCCTGATTCATCCATGTTATGAGATATTTTGCAGATACATCAGTATTATTCTTCAAAGTTGCATAGTAGGTTATTTGTGTAAAAACATAATTCTTGATCTTGCACATATTTAATAGTGAACAAAGACAGGAATATAGTTATTTACATTTCATAAATATAGACTAAAACCTATGGAATTAAAGTAGGTGAACCATGATTGTGCTAGATTACAGGATGTCCTCAATTCATCAGCTGTCTCCGTTTCTAAGAACTTTGCCACTTAAGGTTACAATTCCTCTCACTAAAGTACCACCTTTATTTTTTCCTTCTGGTCTTAGTCTAGTGAATTCCGTTGGCCAGTTTGTTGTTATTATTAGGTGCTGTCGTGTGGGTTCCAACTCATAGCGACACTTCACAACAGAATGAAACACTGACCAGTCCTGCATCCTCCTCACAATGACCGTTGCACTTGAGCCACTATGACAATCCATCTTGGTGGGGGTCTTCCTTTTTTTCACTTACCCTCCACTTTACCAATTATGATGTCTTTCTCCAGGGACTGATACATCCTGATAATAGGTCTGAAGTATGAGAGACAAAGTCTCACCATCCTGGCTTCTAAGGAGCATTCTGGTAGTACTTCTTCCAAAGCATATTGGTTTGTTCTTCTGGCAGTCCATGATACTTTTAATATTCTTATGCAACACCATAACTCAAATGCATCAATTCTTCTACAGTTTTACTTATTCTTTGTCCAATTTTCACATGCATATGAGGAGAAATACTATGGCTTGGGTCAGATACACCTTAGTCTTTAAACTGATCTCTGCACTTGAACACTAAACAGGTTTTTTGCCATAGGTCATTTGATTTCTTGACTACTGCTTACATGAGTGTTCATTGTGGATCCAACCATAATGATGTCTTTGACAATCTTGATCTTTTCTCCATTTATCAAGTAAACATCTTTATGATAGTTCTTGTTTTTAGCCAAGATCCATCTGATGTTACTAATGGTTTCCTTAGTTTCATGTCCTCTTCTGAATCTGGTTTGAATTTCCTGTAGCTCTCTGTCCATGTGCTGCTGCAACCATTTTTGAATTATCATCATCAACACTTTATTTGATTGTGATATTAATAATATTGTTAGATGATCTGCCCATTCTGTTGAGTCACTTTTTTCAAAATGGGCACATTTCTAAATGGCAGCTGTATTCCAAATGTCTTGCCATAGATGAGTGAGCATCTCAAGCATAGTTTGCTGAAGCATTCCAATTTGTATTCTATTTCTGGAGACTTCTTATTCACCACTGCCTTCAATGCAGCTTGGATTTATTTCAATACATTGGTTCTTGGTCATAATGCTACCTCTTAAAATGGCAAAGCATCAACCATTTCTTTTTGGTACAGTGACTCTGTGTATTCCTTCCATCTTCTTTTGATGCATCCTGCATGGTTCAATATTTTGCCCATTTTGTTGCTGTTAAGTGCCATCAAGTCATTTCCAACTCATAGTGACTCTGCATAAGTTTCCCAAGGAAGGGCTGGTAGATTTGAACCACTGACCTTGCAGCTAGCAGTTCAGTGCTTATCCTACAACACAATTAGGACTCCATTTTACCCATATAATGCTTTGGTGTTGCAAATCGAGGCTTTTTACCCCCCACTTCTTTTAGTCTGAGAAATGCTAATGGTGTTCTTCTCCTTTGGTTTTCTAACTCCAGATAGATCTTTACATATTTCATAATTTTTTCCCCACTTCTTTTAGTCTGAGAAATGCTAATGGTGTTCTTCTCCTTTGGTTTTCTAACTCCAGATCTTTACATATTTCATAATTACAATGAATAAGTCATTGGTCTTAAAACATTTATCATGCACTCTCCAGTATTGTTTCTATTACCAAGACTACATTTTCCAACTACTGACTATTTCTCGTTGTTTCCAACTTTTTCATTCCAATCACCAATGCATCTTGACTGCATGTTTGATCAATTTCATACTGAAGAAGTAGGAAGAATTCTTCAGTTTCATCATCACTATCTTTAATGGTTGGTGTGTACAGTTGCATAATAGTGATATTAACTGGTCTTCCTTGTAGGTATATGAATTTTATACTATCACAGATAAGCACTGTGCTTCAAGATCTATCTTGAATGCTCTATTAGATGATGACTACAACACCATTTCTCTTCAGTTTGGCATTCCTGGCATTGTAAACCATCTGACTATCTGATTCAAAATGACTAATACAAGTTCGTTTCAGCTTACTAATGCCTAAGATACTGAGTTTCATTTCACTTATGACAAGTTCCAGTTGTCCTAGATTCACACTTCATACATTCCATCTATGATTATTAATGAATACTTGCAGCTGTTTCTCCTCATTTTGAGTTGTGCCCCATCAGCAAATGAAGGCCCCAAAAGTTTGATTCCATTCATGTCATTAAGGTCAACTCGACTTTAAGAAGGCAGCTCTTTCTCAGTCATAGTTTGAGTGCCTTCCAACCTGAGGAGCTCATCTTCTGGCACTATATCTGATAATGTTCTACTATAATTTATAAGGTTTTCAGTGGTTAACCCATCAGAGGTGTTCGGCCTCTTCTTTTTCCAAGTTTGTCTTAAATCTGGAAGTTCCACTGAAATCTACTACGAGTGACCCTAATGGTATTTAAAATACTAGTGGCATTAGCTTACAGCATCACAGCAACACGCAAGTCACCACAGAATGACAAACTGACAGATGAGTGGGGGGGGCATATACATCAAGAAGTATAAATACATAATGTGGATTGTTAGTTATAATTATTATTATTAGCCAAACATAAATAATCAAAAAAGAGAGGCAACCCCTGAATCATTTATTTTATCTTCATTTCTATATTCAGATCAAAAGGTTTGGGAGTTGATTCCCACTTACTTGTGACTGTTTCTGCTGGATAAGCTGCAGCACCTCATTGACGAGCCGGTAATCTTTGGATCGTGCATCAGTGAAAACATAGATGAAAGAGCCAGGAAGAGAAATTTCCAAGGCAATTTTTATAGCTCCAATGCTCATTTCTGGACAGTCACCACCACCCTGTTCAGGAGTAAAAAGAAAAACAGAATTATTTCATCAGCAAGGAAGAAAGAGGCATTTTAGTTATAAATAAAGTGTAAGAACTTTAAACCCAAGCAAGTTCTCTTGACTGACTTTCTTTAAGTTTCCTATTGGATCAGTCACTTTGGAGGGGTAGGAGATGGAAAAGACATAAAGTGATGTGTAAGTGAATGAAGTAAGATTTTCCAAAGAAATTCTCTTATGACAACCCTTGCTAGCCTTGAAGAATGAGTAGGTGCATTGTTGTGATGGAAAAAAATTCCTCTGTACAACTTTCTTGGCCTTTTCTTTAAAACAGTTTTCAATATTCTTAAACTTCTTCCTGATAAGACCCTGTAATCATCCTATATCTTTTAAGAAGATCTATCAAGATCCCCTCATTGGATTCCCAACAAAGAGTTGCCAAAACCTGCTGAGCTGGCCTCTGTGACTTGAAATTAACTGGCCCAGCAGATCCCCTTGGAAGTCATTGTTTTTATTGGACCTTTTTAGAAAAACAGACATATTAACAAGACTATTACTGAGAAAACTGTCTACAGCCACCCACTGTTTGTAGAGATATACTGAAACGCATTATGTTTGAAGTAAACCCATGCATGCTTGAACGGGGACCCTAGTAACAATACTTTTTGATGTACTCTCAAATATGTCTAAGAGTTTATATGTAATTCATGTATGGTACAAATGGTTGAGTGCTTGGCTACTGAGAGGTTGTTGGTTCAAATCCACCCAGAGGTTCCTCAGAAAAAAAGATATGGCCATCTACTCCTAAAAAAATCACAGCCACTGAAAACCCTTTAAGTACAATTCTACTCTGAAGAGCATGGGGTTGCCATGAATCTATTTGATAACAATTAATTTTGTTTTTTTATATTCTGTGAGGAGTTGGAACTCAACAGGGCTACCTTATTTTTCCAGGTCTGAGTTAATGCACTGGACTGTAAAGTCTGTTGGAACCACAAGGTTGGCAATTCAAGGTCACCAGTCGCTCTTTGGAAACCTTATACAGTGTTCGCTATGGTTCAGAACCTCGATAGCACTTAACAACAACAACACAAATTTTCAGCTTTTGATAGGGTGCAGTCTTACTACTTCTATTGCTCTCTGATATTAGTGGGAAATACTCAATTTTTACTTCTCTGACAACTTTTGCTTTACACAGGTTCCAGGTTTTACTGTATAAATAGTCAAGTCTGAACTAAGTCATAGCAACCATATATCGAGTTTTATTGCTGACCTTGCAATTAGTAGTACAGTGCTTACCTACAATGTCATACCAGGACCGCAGTATACGCATTGTTGTTGTTAAATGCCGTGGAGTAGGGTTTCCCAGGTTTTAAATCTTCAAGGGAGAAAAAAAGTTCATCTTTCTCCTTTGCAGTGACTGGGGATCTCAAACCACTAACCTTGTGGTTCATAATCCAGTTCTTATTGTATGGAGCCACAGCACTCCCTTATCAGTCACTGTTGCTGCTAAATGCCATCGAGTCAGTTCCTACTCGTATATAGGGTTTTCGCGGAGCGGGTGATGAGTTGAACTGTCAACCTTGCTGTTCAAACCATACTTATCTTTCAAGCCCTAATTCTCCATCTCCAATTGCTTGTTACATGTCTATGCTTAAGTGTTCTACATTTAACTAAAACAGAAGTCATTATATTTTTCCTCAACAATGTCATGTATTAATGGCAATATCTGTCTAACTGCTATGGTTGTGTGCTGTTAAATCAATTATGACTGATAAGAACCCTGTAATACAAAATAGATCTATCCCCACAGGGTTTCCCAAGCTGCAATCTTTTTCTTTCTTTTTTTTTTTTTTTGGTGAGGGGTACACAGGACTACAGTGTAGGCTCAAAATAGGACTTTGTTTATTGTAGAGTTATGGTTAATTTTAGGGTTCATATTAGGGTAAGGGTTGGACAAGGTCCAGGAGTAAGGCTTGGTCTAGTTTTTAGGGTTACAGTCAGACTTACGTTTATTTACTTATTTTATATTTTCTTGAAATCTACTTGAATTCCTCTTCAGTTACGAGTTCTATTAACTACATTATTCCCTTTTCTATTTTATGATTTTGTTGTTGTTACAACTGTATCTCTATTTCTCTATTTTCAATTTTGTAGGTCTGTTTTTCCTTAAATACTTCCATATCTGGGTAAAATCTAGGTGATATGTTAGTTAGGTGTGTTAAGTCTCAGGTTGTTATCTTATGTTTTTAGTTCTCTGTCCAAAGAACCCCCTACAGTATTATTTTATAAGGTTAGTCTGTTTTTACAAATTTTTAAAATTTATCTTTATCTGAAAATGACTTAATGTTGCCAACATAACTGATGTATGTAAGATTCTTGGTAGGCAATTTTTTCTTTCTGAGTTGTAGATACATCATTCCATTGTCTTTTTGCTTGCATGATTTCTGCTGAGAAATCAGAGTTTAGTCTTAATAGTTCTCCTTTGTAGGTAACTTTGTGTTTCTTAAGCTACTACAGGATTCATTCCCTATCTTTGGTTTTGAAAAGTTTGGTTATAATACGTCTTTAGTGTTTTTCTTTTGAACTCTATGCTGTTTGGCGTTCATTCAATTTCTTCAATGGCTATCTTCTCATCTTTAACAATGGTAAGGAAGTTTTCT